CTCTTCTGAACATATCCGGCTTAAAAATTCGTTTTTTGTCAAAGTCTCTTTTTCATAAAATCACCAATTAAAAAAAAACATTCTGGCGTGTGATTGAAAATGTTCTTATTATGGCAAACTGAACATCTGCTTTTAAAATTTTTGTTTGCTATTTGCACCATTTTTGCTTTGTCTTAGCTAATTTTTAAACCCTGCATTAGATTTTTTCAATTCCCTGAACCTACCAAAACTATGCCAATTTCTTTTCTTCCTCATACTGGCGATAGCGAGCAGAAATAAATTGCGAACGAGTGTTAAATTCAGCCATTATATCCTGCGACAACCTAAATGCTCCTGCTACTATTCTCGTATTGATTTTTCACCCTTTGGGTTTCGATAGTACAACTGTTGGGCGACGATCCGCGCCCTTCTGCTGCCCGAGTGGCATTTCCAGCAACATGGATATTTCTTTGTTGTACGCTGATCCAGAATATCCAGGATACAGGATCCCGGATAGAATATCCCTGATTTGCCGCTTTAGGCAGTTTGCGATAAACCATCCTCGAGCTGCTGAAACCTCTGGCCTCCTGCTAAGGGTGTTCCTGTATGGAAACTCCTTTTGGCATTGTCGTTTGGAAAACTTTAGCGGCAGTTTCACCGCACTCTGTGCAGAGTTTCAATGCGTCCTTATTGGTAAACTATTGATTTTGACCATGCATTGGCCGGTAGATGGGCCTCAAATAGTCGTATAAGGGTGAAGTTTTCGATTGAATATCGTGAAAATATGTAACCAGATCTACACTGCTAGTGTAGCAGTGCAGCCGATCGTGCTTGTCTAAATCGCATATCCAGGGTTACCAGAAGCTTTTCCCGATCTTGTCTAAATTTAGAAGCGGGTTTCTGTGCGTGTAGGATTCCTGAATGCCGCATACAGTGCAGTTTCTAATGTGAAGAGCCTGCTTACTGCGAAACATTTGCTTGTTGGAGCTTGGTAAGTGTTGCTAAAAATACCCCAGCAGTGTTTACTAGGGAAAACACTGTTCCTGGCTATGATACACTATCCCGCAGGAACGCGGTGCAAATGAAAATTCCATAATGTAAGACAACACCTAGATCCATCTGTGGCCTCCCTAGGGAAACCACGAATCGCTTTTAATTGAATATTGGAGTTTTTTGCAATTTGATTAACACGAAGGAAGTTAACTGAGCGTAATTTATTTGAGGACAGGTTTTAGATAAAGCAGAATGTCATCAATCGTGTTCGGTTTTTTAAACGCCGAACTTACCCCAATTCCCCAATTCCTGAGGGGAATTTTCGGCGCCAATTTCAACAGTGCTCTGACTAATTTCATTACATGGTTATTTCTGATTTGGATTATTTTATACGTGTATTATGACAAGCTGATTAATGTGAGTATATAAGGGTTTTTCCCTATTTTAACTAGGGCGACATGAATTTTGTGCCGAGGCATCTTCAAAAGTGTGTTCCATTCGGGAGTTATTGAAACCATTCAAGAGCGTAGCTAACAGCGGTTGTTGCACTCGCGCCCATAGGAGTGCATGAGAGATGGAAGATGGCGGGCGCGATGCTACGTTCCAACTTGACACCTTCACGGCTAAAATTAACTCAGTTTTTTCGTTGGTTTCAAGTGCGAAAACACACATTTGAAGGCCGGCGCCCTAAAAGCAATTTACAACTTTTTAACACCCTTTGTATTCCAGGTTTTATTTAAATACCTGAAATTTCCTCAATATCTTCGAAGCCGCCTTACGAACAGCATCTGGGACTTTTCTATGCACACGTGTTTTTTGGTGTCTTTCCGCTTTTATATTACCAAGAAGTACCCGTACAACAGTTGGGACGTGTTGCTGTTTTTTGAACATCAGGAAGACTCAGTTTCCCTTTTAGATAGTGTCACTTTTGCTGGCTTGTGTTCGTGCCTTTTGGCCAATGCCTGCATCCAAGGCGTGCAGCGGTCGTTCCTATGTTTCGTGAAATTCGCTGCATTAGCCATATGCTGCAGTTGTGCATATATTGTAGGGTGAGCCAGATTGGCCAAGTGCGCTTTCGTTGATTGCGAAAGTTGCTGTTACAGATTTCCGAATATGTCCTTCACTTTGGCGGCCCTGCAAGCTTTTCCAGGGATGCTGGAGGAGCTGACCAGGCTCTCCTTCTGCGGGCTTAATAAAAGCAACAAACTCGGCAGAGCTATAATTGACTTAATATTTGTAGACAGCCTGATAGTTTTCTGCATTGTTTACTTATACGCGATTCCAATAACGTGCGTAGTTCCGGTGGTATTGATGTGGTTTCCTGGAAATACTGGTCTGGTGCATCTGGTACTGTTAATCTCTCTGCTCTGTTGGATCAGTTTGGTCATCTACACGTCAGTAAGTAAGCTGCCTCAACAGTGCGCGGTTTTTCTGAAAGTTCTGCTTTCAGCCATCGGTGAACTCAACTTTCCATCAATTGTGTCACCGGGAAACTGCCAGTCTCCCCACAGATATCGAAAATCAATCTCTACCCATGAGGCTTAAGTGCTTGGGAACCTTGACCGAATGCGCCTTATTTCCTCCTCGACTTGACGATGGGTTTGTGATGGCATTCCTAAGATCAGAAGAAAAAAAGCGGAAGACACAGTAAGCGCCCAGTGTGTTTTCCCAACGAAGTGACCAAGCTTTGATTTCCAGGTTAAATGCCAGCAGGAAGCCGAAGAATAAGAACATGATAATTCAGACTCTCAAGTGTAAGTTTTGCCCGCTATTTAACTCCCAGCTTTTTCGATCGGGCAGCTTTTCACAGGCATGCTGACAATAAAGAAGAAATTGAACCAGAAACTGAAACGGCGTCGCTCGGAAGAGAGCGCTGAAGCATCCGAACCCGATTCGGCACAAGACAGTGATTCTGACGACAGTTCCACCAGTCACGAGTCCTTAACTGAAGTCAAAACTAGTACTAAGATGATGGAACTTCAGGCTAAATCCGAAGAAGGCTCGCTGCCACTCGAGGTGAAGGAGGAAGACTTTGAAGCAATCGAGTCAGAGATTAAGAGCGATAATTTGGATAACCCCATCGGCCAAGACAGGGAAGATTCAGAAGATTTGGACGAACTGCGTAAAACTGAAAATACTGAAAAATTAGACGATGTAACCGAAGAAGTGAAGAGTTTGGTTGACGCTTGTGAACTGGAAGAACCTGAATCCGGTCGGAATAAAAAAACGCCAAAATTGGAACACTAGAAGAATATTTAGACGATGTAGTTACTGTGTTTTTCAATCATTAATAAACTACAAAGTTGATTTGAAAAAATTTTACTTCCTTTCCTCTAATATTAATTTTCCACGTTGTGCTCGCTTCTGAGCCAGCGGCTAGATTTCCCGTTTTTAAATCAATGTCCAAAGCTGCCTCTCTGTCGTTTTAGTGGCTAAATTGGGAGACAGATAAATTTTCAATTTGTGCAGGTTTCTGTTCCAAAATCTTCATTTGGTCTGAAGCAAAATACCTTTCCAGATTGCAGTTCCCAAATAATCCACATTTTCAGTCTATTTTGAACGGTTTTTGAGCGGTAGCAATCTTCGACGGATGATATCTTCCTTATTTTCGACCCACAACTTTCATGTTCGCTATTGGGCAACTTCTTAGGTCGGAAACATTCCAATAAGGGCAAAAAACACGATTGCGAAATTTTGATGTTTAGTCGAAAATTTCATAAGGGGGGAGTAAGAGGTCGATTTTCCCAAAAAATTCAAGTTCCTCAAAATACCTCGACTGCTACATAATTTTTATCGATTTTTCAGCCAGATTCTGAGCCAGAGCCTCGATTTGCTCTGAAGTCACATTGTTCTCTGATATTTAATCTTTAGCGTTTTTGTCGAAGTTGGATGACCAAAGTTGAGTTTCTCTCAATTTCCTGTGATCAAAACTCCTCCATTGTGGCCTGGAAAACTTTCGCGGCTGTTTTACTCAACTTTATTAGTCGTTTGAATATGAAGTTTTCCATTGAATATCGTGAAGTTTTGCAATTGCTGAGGTCAAATTCATCAAAATCCTTTAAAGAATTTCAGTGTATGTAAAAAACATATTCAAACTGGCCTGAATTTCGATAAATATTTGACCACGCTTCCAGTCTAGCAGTGATTTCGACCGTGCGTGTTTAAAACGTATATCAAGAGTCAGCAGAAGCTTTTCCCAAACTGGTCTTAATTTACAACAGTTCAATTTCTAATGAGAAAACCCTGCTTACTATAAAACATTGGCATATTGGAGCTTGGTGAGTTTTGTTGAAAATTCTTCAGCGGTGTTGGGGAAAACCCTATTTATGTTAAACTGCCTTCCAGCAACGCGCTGAAAATGAAAATTTAATATGTAACCAGCCGTGGTCTTCCTAGGAAAACAAACGCATTTAAAACTGAATATTTCTTTGGAGGCTTTTTGCAATTTTGATTGATTTTTTGCAATGCAAAAAATAACTGATAGTAGATTTATTTGAACATACGTTTCAGGTAAAGCAGAATGTCTTCAATCGTGGTCGATTTTTTAAGCACCGAACTTACCAAAGTGCCTAAATTCCTGAGGGGCATTTTGGGCTCCAATTCCAACAGTGCGCTGTGCAATGGAATTATATGGTTATCTCTGTTTTGGATTATTTTATACGTGTGTTATGACAAGCTGATTAATGTGAGTATATAAGGGTTTTTCCCCGTTTTAACTAGGTCGACAGAAATTCAAAAGTGTGCTTTATTCGGGAGCTCCACCAACCAGTCAATCCATTCAAGAACGTAGCTAACAGTGGCTGTTGCACTCGCGCCCATAGGAGTGCATGAGAGATGGAAGATGGCGGGCGCGATGCTACGTTCACACTTGACACCTTCACGGCTAAAATTAATTCAATTTTGTGACAACCGTTTTTTTGTTGGTTTCGGTGCAAAAACACACCTTTGAAGGTCAAAGACATAAAGCAATTTACAACTTTTCAGCAGAGGTTGTATTGCAGGTTTTACTCAAACACCCGGAATTTCCTCAATATCTTCGAAGCCGCCTTACCAACAGCATCTGGGACCTTTGCATGCACGCGTGCTTTTTGCTGTCTTACTACTTTCATATTACCAACAAATATCCGGACAACGGATGGCTTGAGTTGAAGTTTTTCGAACAGCAGCAAGACTCAGTTTCACTCTTAGAGAATATCACCTTTGCTGGCTTGTGTTCGTGCCTTTTGGCCAATGGCGGCATCCAAGGCGTGCAGCGGTCGTATCTATGTTTGGTGAAATTCGCTGCACTAGCCGTAGCCTGCAGTTCTGCATATATTCTAGGGTGAGCCAGATTGACCAAATGCACTCTCCTCGATTGTAAAAGTTGCTGTTTCAGCTTTGTGGATTTGTCCTTTACTTTGGCGGCCCTCTGGGCCTTAACAGGGATGTTTGATGATCTGACCAGACTCTCTTTTTGCTGGTTTTATAAAAAGAGCGAAACCTGCAAACTTCTGGTTGACTCAATGTTTGCATCCAGCCTGATGGTTTTCTGCACTGTTTACTTCTACGTGATTCCACTGGCGTGCCTAATTCCATTGGGATCAATGCGATTGCCTGGAAATGCCGATGTGGTGCGTTTGGCACTGTTCATCTCTCTGCTCTGTTGGATCAATTTGGTCATCTACAAGTCAGTAAGTACGCGACTTCAACAGTCAACACATTTTCTGCAAGTTCCCTTTTCAGCCTTCGTTGAACCTAATTTTCCATCAATTGTACCACTTGAAGAAATCGAGGACAGCATATGCCTCTCTCTCCGCAGATAACGGAAGACAATTTCAGTCCATGGCACTTGTTTGCTTGGGAAGCGGCATCGAATGCTCCTTGTTTCCGCCTGGATCCGACGATGGGTTTCTGATGGCATTCCTAAGATCAGAAGAAACAAAGCGGAAGAGACTGTAAGCATTCAGAGCCTTTCCCCAAGATAGTAACCAAGATTTCACTTTCAGTGTAAATGTCAGGATAAGACGGAGGAACAAACCCATGCTAACTAAGACCCTCAAGTGTAAGTTTTGCAAGCTATGTAACTCCTAACCGTTTCGATCGGGTTGCTTTTCACAGACATATTGGCACTAAAGAGGAAACTTAGCCTGAGAATAAGACGGGCCATCTCAGAACTGAGCTCTGAAGATTCCGAAAGCGATTCTGATACCACACTAGACAGCGATTCTGATAGTTCCACCAGTCAATACTCCTTTGTTCAGCGCCATACTCCGATCGAGACTGTTCGGCGTCCATCTGAAGAAGTCACGCTGCCACTGGTGGATAGGGAGGAAGACATTGAAACCATCGGGGTGCAGATTGGGAACGATCCTTTGGATTTGTCGATCATCCAACAGAGGGTAGAAAACGTGGAAGACTCAGCGTAGGAGACTCAGTCTTTGGTGGACGTTTGTGGGCTGGAAGGACCTTCCAGTTCTTCGGAACGGTCAGGTCGAAAGCAAGAAAGGTCTGAATTGGGGGCTGCCGCTAGTAAACGTATACATGATATTCTTTCGTACTGTCAGCATTTAGACAATTTTTAGACGTTAAATTAATGCTCGAAAATTTAGGATAAGTTTGACATGTTTAGTGGATTTAGCTACTGTGTTTTTAATGAGAATTATACTACAAAGATTTGAAAAAAATTGTTTTTTATTACCCTTTCAAGTTGTGGACGGTTCTAAGCTAGTGCGTCAATCTCTTCACAGGCAAAAGACGTTTCTGACTCTCCTGCAAAATGCCAGCTG